TATTATACGAATATTTAGATAAAAAATTTCCGGAGAAAAAATTCATAGATAAATAAAATTATTCTACAATATGTCGATCAAATACATTTTGAATTATTATCTGAAGGTACTCATCCGTATCTCGCGGTTATTTTTTTATTTAACATTCAATAAAACAATAGAATTAACCGGATGAAAAGATGTACAATGCTTGATTACAACTTTAATTATTTGTTGCGAATTAAACACAGCTTCAGGGGATTTGAATTGTAATTCTTTGTTATAAAAATATTATTCATTAATGGAGAACTTTCAACGAGAATTTTTCCTTTGTGGTACTTACGCAAATAGAGATGAAAAATGAACGTGGATTAAATATGAACAAGTATAAATGATCTTTTAATTTAAAATGTTATTTCAATTCAAATCGACACGGAGCTTTTACGCCCACAATATCGGGTGTAAAATATATGTTTATTATCTCCTCTATTGCTTTAATGGAGCGTGGAAATATTATTGTTATTTTTATTGAAATTTTCTATTTTAATAAACTTACGGATTATTGAATAAAAATAATTCCCTAAAAAATATTAAATGTAAGTAACCTTTATCATTTCAAAAACAATTTCCTTCATAATATCAATCTGATTGAACGGGAATAGAAAAACTAATTTTTATCGACTTGAATCAGGTATAAAACCAGAAAAGTAATCTCGTTAAAAATACAATCTTGGAATGTACTGATTTAATAAAATAGTCTTCACGTGTATATTTTTATTCCAAATCGAATATCCTTCAATTTTAAACGTAAAATAAAATAAATTTTTAATTACTCTGAAATTCATTCACATCAATTTCATTTACAGATTCAATATTGACATTTATTTATAAACAATACTTTAATTCAATAAAGCAATTAATAATAATTAATAACAAACAAACCAACAATGGAAATAATATCACAAGAAGCTGAAATTAATACCTTATTGTCTTATTGAATTACGGATACAATTACATTGAGGTACATTCAAATGTATCTATGCAAATTGCAACGAACCCTAATTTCACCCACATCGTATTAATGCAGTATATTTACATGTTATGCATACGTCTGCTAAAAATCGATAAATTATCATAACGTTAATCATTTCCAACACCAAGATGATGAATATTCTTGTTAACTCGCTATACTGCTAACAACAACTTCAATATTGTTCCACATCTTAAAAGTGGATCCTTTATTTTTTTATTTATTTATTTATTTATTTATTTAATTATTCATTTATTTATTTATTTAACTTAAATGCCAAGGCAATGGCTGAATGGTAAATGGTACAAAAAACAAGTAAAAAAATACATCGACGGTCTAATTAGCAATTTGTCTAACTTTTTATTTTTTAGAGGGTATTTTTTTTTTTAACATTTTGATGTAGCAATAATCCAATTATAAATTATTTGAATGATTCAAATCTAAATACTATATCTCTATTAGATAATAATAATATTAAATGGTTTTCCAAAGTGATAATAAATTTTGAACTGTTTTTTTCGTACAAATAGAAGAATCTCAAAAATGGAGTTAGACAATTTGCTGATTAGAACGTCGACATGTAAGAATATAAACAGATCTACATTAATAAATTGACAAAGTAAGGATTATAACTAATCGAACAAAGCATACGATTTAAAATTTGAACAATTAAATCAACTAATTTCAATCAATAATAATGAGGTGAGTAAAAATGAACAAGAATTTGTAGATTGAATAGTAATTTAATTGCACGCCTCAGAGCACGAAGCGCGTGAGGTTGTGCTTTATACTCGGCTCGTCAAGGTCAAGCAATTTTGTGATCTTTAAATGCCTCTAACGCAACCATATTACACTTATACAATGATATAAGTAGATGTACACCGAAAAAACACTTGAATTAAACCATCTTTTACTTTCTAAAATCATTTCATGTTGCTATTTTGAAAAAAAAAAGTTTTGAAAAAAATTTGACGTGGACGTTCGGATGTCACCCCATTTTGGATGTACCAACGATTACTCCCGAACAAATTGATATTTCAAGACCGGACCTTTTTTATTAGTTTAAGAATTCGATTAACTGGGTCCGTATTTCATATCAGTGGCCTAATTTATGTATTTTTTTTTTTAATTAAATTTTTATTAAAATTCACTACGATACATCCGTACAAAGCCAAATGAACTTTTCTCATTTGTCACGTGAAAACTATGGCGCCACTTGATCAAGCTAGATTTTTTTAGACTGCTTGCGCATATGACAAGAAAAAAGAGCGCCGATATTTAAAAAAAAAATAAAAAATACTCTGTAAGAAAATACTTAATTATAATTTATTTTTTAATCAATTGCACAATTAATTTTTTTCTTAAAAAATGAATGAGCGTTATGAGGCGTGCACTTTTGGATTTTCCAAACTTTTTTTTAATTTTGACCGCCAAAAAAAAAACAAAAGACTGAATTATCCGATATTTAAAAAAAAAAATAAAAATACTCATGTAAGAAAATACTTAATTATAATTTATTTTTTAATCAATTGCACAATTAATTTTTTTCTTAAAAAATGAATGAGCGTTATGAGGCGTGCACTTTTGGATTTTCCAAACTTTTTTTTAATTTTGACCGCCAAAAAAAAAACAAAAGACTGAATTATCTTCTATTTAATTTTTTTAAATTTATTTACAACAAAAATTTTCAATTAAATGTTTTTTTTTTTTTTCAAATTATTAGTTGATGCAACACGAAATAAAAAACATAATTTTTTCGCACGTACAGAAGTAGGAAATTTCAATTTCCACGTTTTCTTCAACTCGAGTGAGCAATTACAAGCATAGTTTTGCCCTAGTTTTCTTTTGTTCGATGCGGTGTGCAGTCTACTATTTATTTAGTTTTGTTTTCTACTAGAGTATGTAAAAAACTCTATTTTCTAGAAGCACACTCATCAAAAGTCTAAAAAATCTGTTTATTAAATGGTTATTTATATTAATATATTTTTGAACACGATCAAATTTCTTTATAAATAATGAATTATTAAATTTATTTGAAAATAATCTTGCCACTATCTAAGTGTCACTGTTTTAAAAATACATTTAATTAAAAATTTTCCGTAAAATTCAAGTTAATGTCTTGGCAAGTGCGATACAAAAAAAAATTAATTACAAAATGGACTAACTTGTACATAAATTCATTCCAAAGTTTCATTTGAATTATTTATGTTATCTGAAACAAATAAGAAACTTTGTAGATTCATTATTATCACCCTGTTTAAAAGTATCCAGAGTAGAATAAGATGTAAAAAAAAAATGTTTATACTCAGTAAAAAGAGCTGTAATCGATTCTTATCACGTAGAGACAAAGAAGGGGAGATCGATTTTTTGTAAGACAAATGCCAGAGCAGTATAAACGCGAACAAAGAGTTATTTACATTCATCATGAAAGATATAAATTACATACCGCTGAATTCGGTACATTATATAATATATAATATGATACGTAACTTGCTATCATTTAACAACTCCATCACAATGGAATTGCATTCGATAATAGATACCGCGAGAAGCCAGTAACTGCAGCGCAAGTTGCTGTAATTTCATACAAAAGCACACAAAATAAGAGGGCAGCGAAAGTTTGTTCAGATGCGGTTACTAAAAGTTTGTTTGATGAGCTGTTAATTTAATTACACTGATAGTAATGCTCATAAACATGTTTACATGAGCACTTGAAATATTCTCGAGCTTATTTGATCACCGACGGCATTAATATTCGGACTGTGCAGGCAAAATAATCCGTCGAGATGTTAATTTTGTGTTTGATTTAATTAATGGGTGGATGATTCGGTATTTTGATAGCTTGGTTATTATTTTGACGGGTGTTAATTATCGAGATTGACGTAAGGAAATAATAAGAGAAGCTGGAAATTTTTGGATGGAAGAAATTTAACTGACAGGCTGAAATTTTGTTCTTTGTTTTGATAGCTACTCTGAAAAAAAAATTAATTTGAACAAGAAAAATAATTTTGAAGAGTTTTTTGGTCTTGAATTAAAACCAAAAATTCTTAATTAAATTTATTTAAAAATTTGTTACACAGAAAAAAAAATTTACTTGAATCGAGTAAATAATTTTGAAGAACAATACCTTCTTAATTTGAGTATAAAAATTTTTAAACTAAGAAATTTGTTTTTGGTTTAAGTAAATTTCACTTGATTCAAAAAATTTTCTTCTGATTTAAGTTAATTTTTTTTTTGTGTAGTTTAAAAATTTTTCAATTGATGTTAAAAAATTTTTAATTTTTTAAAACTTTACTTGCATTTAAAATTATTAATTAATTAATTTCACTGAATTTTTGGAAGCTAAAATCATTTTAAAAAATTTTTTTAAAATATAAAGGACTATACCAAGCCAGGATTCGAACCTGGATCTTTTGATTACAAGTTAGGTGTTTTGCTACCTAAACTACCAGATTCAAAGATTGTTTCTTTATTTATTTATTTAATAATGAATTCTACAGCCATTAATTAAAACTGATAATAAGATGTCTAAATAAGACATGCATACAAAGTTTGAAATAACTTATACATTCAACCTAACTTCAGGCGACATTAATGAAGATCATAAAGTACTTGAATAAGATAACACATTAAATGTAGAAATGTATTTTATCATTGCGCATTACTACTAAAATTAATTTATAGTCTTAATTAATGGGTTCAAGATTGAAATGCTCGGAATAAAAAAAAATGTATAAACTTTTCTAAGATTTTTCCCTTTCAATAGCTTAAATATTTCACTACGGTACTTAACGTTCCTTTTAAAAGTGGCCAGCTTTGTGAGGATCAGAATCTTCAGAGTTCCATTATTTAGTTCGCGTGGTGCACTTGTAAGCTTTATTGTTTCTTTTGAAAAAATAAATCGTGAAGAGAATCAGGAATAAATTTTATAAAAAAATAATTTGATGAGAATTTTTTTATGGTGTTAATTAGGGTAATAATACTTTACAAAATGAAGAGAGGAGGTGAATTTAAGATAGTGCTTGAATAAATTATTTTTTTTACCTTGCTTTCAAGGCTCTAAATGTAATCCCGACATGTAATTTGAATGTTAGATCAAGTGTCATTGTGATAAAGAATAATCTGCTTTCTTTGCGGCGGAAAATCACTGAGTGAGAACGAAAATGAAAAATTACCTGATGTATGACATTTATTATAATTATCAATCATATTATGTCATGTATAATACATGTAATTTAAAAAAAATACTATTTTAAATGACATTTTATCCAGAATTTAAATTTACCATTTATTTAAATAATTTTAATGCTTGGGATAATTAAATGTAGTCCATCAATTTTAATAAACTTCAATGAAATATTAATTAAATTTACAAATAATGGCCATTAATTAAGTAAATGATGAATTTAAAAATAATAGTAGGTTTGTATTGAATTCAGACAATTTTCCAACTCACGTTTCATTCTATGAAAACTCTTATGTATGCTGGATAAAGTCTAGAAAATTTGAATAGTAAAATATATACATTACTTTATTGCGTTATAGATGTCGAAGGCTTTGTAGAAATACTTCCTTCCGATGAATGACAAGAAAAATATAAAAATAAAGTTTTCTTCTGTAATCATACAGAGAAATTGAGAACAGGAATTTTTATTGAAAAGTTTCTGTGAAAAGTCATGTATTTTGAGAGAAAATAAAAAAATTAGTTGTACAAAATATTTTTCATTGTTGAATAATAAATTTTTTTCAATACTATGCATAATTATTATTATCTTGCAATTACCTTATCACGGGTTATTGTTTTTAAAAATGAAATGAAAGAGAAATGCAAAATGAGTCTCTTGGGTGAAATAATTTTAAATTTAAAAAAATAATCAATAATAATAATAATTATTATTATTATAACGGTAATGGAAGATAACAAATACGTAGCGATGATTGAAACAGTTTTATTTTTTTAATATTAAAACTGTTATATTAATATTAATAATACTCTATCTCTAGATACATAATTAAGAAATGACCTTATATCTTGGGAACTATTGACATTTTTAAAGATATAAGCTCACCCCGATTTTACACTCATCGAGACCTTTCATTTGAGTACCCACATCAATTTTTCATATATTTTATATATTTCACAAATATCATATATATAAAATATATGAAAAATGCATGTGGGTACTTAAATGAAAGGTCTTGATGAGTGTAACATCTGGATGAGTTTATATCTTAAAAAATGTCAATAATTAAGAAATAACCTTGTATATATCTTGTGAACTATTAACATTTTTAAAGATATAAGCTCATACCTATGTTACACTCATCAAGATCTTTCATTTGAGTACCCACATCAATTTTTCATATATTTTATATATTTATATATTTCACAAATATCATATATATAAAATATATAAAAAATGCCATGTGGGTACTTAAATGAAAGGTCTCGATGAGTCTAACATCGAAATGAGTTTATATCTTAAAAAATGTCAATAATTAAGAAATGACATTGTATTTTGTCAACTAATGACATTTTTAAAGATATAAGCTCATCCTGAGGTTACACTCATCCAGACCTTTCATTTGAGTACCCACATGAATTTTTCATATATTTTAGATATTTATATATATAAATATATGAAAAATATATAAAAATGCATGTGGGTACTCAAATGAAAGCTCTTGATGAGTGTAACATCGGGATGAGCTTATATCTTTAAAAACGTCAATTGTTAAAAAAGTACAGTGCAAATTAACAAAAGTCATTATTTTATAAAGTAAAATTTCATTCACTTAATACAGTTCACTAGTCACGGCAGTCATATAGTGACTTCAAGATTGCTAGTTTTAAATTAAAAAAAAAAATAACAAATAATAATAATAAAAGATAACAAATACGTAGCTATGATTGAAATAGTTTTATTTTTTCAATCAACAAACAATTTTTTAATGAAAATCCAAAACATTAAAATAGAAATAACGTATAGAAAGATATCAATAATAAAAATAATAATAATTTGTTGATACTTTTTGACAGCGGTTTTCCCGGAGCTGACTGGGGGCTTACATCGATCGTTACCAGGTATTTCGAAGCTCGTCGAAATCCAGGAGACAATAGAAGCCGGCAAGCATGCAGTTGCTGCTGATGATGTTAGAATTGGAGATGTATTAGCACACGAAGCGCCTCTGGCATCGTGTCTCTTACCCGAGTATTACGGTACACATTGTCATCATTGTTTTGTAAGGCAAGTATTCTGTTTTCTGTTTTTATTCATCACAACTTCAGCCCCTCACTTTCAGTTATTTCTGTCACACACTCACCCATCTAAAGTTACTTATCTTCCGAGAGCATTATTCACATTTTACGTTCAGCATTTAACATTTCAACTTCAGTTACTTTCTATCCCAACAAAGAGACCTAGTGTCCTCAAGGATTACTTATAGTCTCCAACATCAAGCTCTGTAAATTTTATTACAATCCAAGAACTTTTCATTCTTCTTATCGCGAATAAAAGTTTGAATCGGCCATTGAGTCGCTGGAAATATTAAAAGTCAAAAATATTCACGAATTAATGGTCTCATCTGCTGAAAGAGAGAAAAGTTATAATACCTTTTAACATATGTAAGCTTTTAAGTAGAGCTTCAATATATCTTATTTTCGCTGAATTTATTCCAGTCCAAATATTCGCTTCCGATTTAAAGCTTTTTAGTCCATAAGCTTACTTTTAAAAGTGACTTATAAGCTCAATGTAAAAAATTTCTCCTTAAAAAAAAAATTTATTCTATTCAAATGCTTATAAAAATCTGTTTCAAGTATTAATTATTATAATTATTATTATCAAATAATTTTTTTTTCTGAGTATTTTCATTAATCAACCGCTAATAACTCTTGAATTAAAGTACAATATTTACTTTGTAAAGTTTTTGATAATGGCCACAGTTCGTTGGATAAATCAACGTAGATTCAGAGATTTTGTACGACTTTGAGAAGATTATAATAACTTCATGAGCTGATTACAAACCACGTTAATTAGCTATCTATTGATTCTATTTCTGTAATGCCCTGGTTTATCGATGTTCAAAAGTCATAGTTACTCCGATGAGAATACTAAATATATCTACTTAAAAATAGATTAATTTTAATGATGGAATCAAACTATATAAATACAAAATCTGCGGAGAGATGAATATTATTTTGATAAACAAGCGATTTTGTATTGCATATGCGTGTGTAATACTTGCAAGGCTCATCACTTATAACTAAGCTGTTATGAATATATTCTACCTTAGAGTATTACCAGAACATGATTTACTAGAAGTGCATCACTAAGACATACATCATAATATCGTAATAGCAAAATTTTATGCAAACTTGTAAGTTTTCTAACATTTATTTAAATTCAATTTTTAAACATAAGTCGCACAACGAGAATAATTTTTTTTTTTTTATTTACTTCTAAGTAATTTTTCTACTGCAATATTTTCATTTAGTGAAATATTGACATTTCTAAGGACATAAGCTCATCCCGATGTCACACTCATCGAGACTTTTCATTTGAGTACCCACATCAATTTTTCATATATTTTATATATTTATATATTTCACAAATACCATATATATAAAATATATAAAAAATGCCATGTGGGTACTTAAATGAAAGGTCTCGATGAGTGTAACATCGAAATGAGTTTATATCTTAAAAAATGTCAATAATTAAGAAATGACCTTGTATTTTGTGAACTATTGACATTTCTAAAGATATAAGCTCATTCCGATGTTACACTCATTAAGACCTTTCATTTGAGTACCCACATCAAATTTTTCATATATTTATATATATTATATATATATGTATATATGAAAAATATATGAAAATGCATGTGGGTACTCAAATGAAAGCTCTTTATGAGTGTAACATCAGGATGAGCTTATATCTTTAAAAACGTCAATATTTAAGAAAGTACAGTGCAATTTAACAAAAGTCATTATTTTTATAAAGCAAAATTTTATTTATTTATAGCTCAAAAGTCACGGCAGTCACATAGTGACTGCAAAGTTGCTATTACTGATTATCAACTTTTTTTTATCAGTTACTTATTAGTTCAGTTAAAAACTACTTCGTTAATTAATTAATTAATTTCACTCTTGATATCTTAGTACGACCATCGGGATAGAAGTTGATATTAGATAAAATTGGTAGGTAATTACAGTAATGGTATCATGCTTACAGTCAATTAACTTAAAATCAAATTCAATTTCGGTAATTAAATAAATACATTTTTTTTTTTTGGAAAAAAAATATATTTTTATCAATTTATTAATAGTATTAATAACGACAATTGTCAACAATTTTTATATTTTTATAAAACTTAGTCTTTTATTTTAATTGAAAAAATAATTTTATTATTTCAATTTTTCATTATAAATTTTCTTAATAAGAAAATCTTCTATAAGAAAATTAAATTTTAAAAACAATTTCTAAATGTTAAACCGTTTACGCGTGTAAGTGAAATAATAACTCAAAGTACAGTACTGAGAATCAAACAGAGTATATTAATTCCAAAGTTTTAAACTACTTGATAACTGAGTAATTTAATGTTGAGTTCAGCTGAAGAAACTTTAAAAGTTTTAATTTTTTGATATTAGACAGAATAAATTTAAGACTTGTCATGTATTTAAAATTTTAAACTTCTGACATTTTTCCATTACTAACTTTTTTTTTTTATTTAAATAAAGGTTGAGAGCTCCACTGGGATGTTCAGTGTGCAGCAGTGTGGCCTTTTGCGGGAAAAACTGCCGGGATGAAGCTTTACAAACTTATCATAAATACGAGTGTAAACTCCTTGTTTTGCTTATTGGTAAATTTATATTTAAATTTATACTTTCATAAAACGAAAAAATAAAAAATTATTTTCTAGGATCGGGAATGAGCATCCTCAGTATGCTGGCACTGAGAATGGTTACACAAGTGGGGCTGCAAGGGTGTCTGCAATTGTTCCAGCGGGTGTGTGAGAAAGACAGTGCCGTAAATAATGTTAACTCTGAAAAGTGCCAGGGCAACTTGAGTAAATCATCGAAACGTCGGCTGAGAAAAAAAAAGCTCAAAGAAAGTTCTCAGCAAGCTTCACCCGACAACCATTTCTCGGTCAAAACTGAAAAAGAGTTCAGTAAAAGGGAAAATGTAGATGACCGAGCTTACGATTTGGTGACTTTGGACTCAAAGCGGACTAACTTGGACTTTTTCGAGCGCACATTAATGGCAATATTCCTCGTCAAATGTCTCCAGCGGGTTGAATTTTTAGAAAATACTTCTCAAGGTATTTTATTTTCTGCTCCGCGTATTTATCCATTTAATTAATATTTACATTAAAAAAAATTTTTTTTTTTTTTTATTTACACTGATAGAAGGATTTTTTTGTATTTAAAAAGATTTGTTAATATTTAATAAATGGTTTATTAGAGGATAGGTCCTTAACAAATATTTATTAACAGTTAATAAATCATTTATTAGGAGCTATTTTTTTTGTGCTAACCAAACATTTATTACTATTTAATAAACGATTTATTAACATATAAAAAATGATTTATTAATAGGATTATGAATATTTAAAAAATTCCTCAAAAACGTGTTTCAATGTTTTATTTTAATTGTAAAAATTACAGAGAATTAGATATTTAATGAAGTAAAAGAAAATTGAAATTAAAAAATACAAATAATAAAAAGATAAATTACAATTAGAAGTTTACATATATATATATATACTTATTTACAACTACGCGTTAACGTAGAGCCATCTACCAACACCGACCACCAACAAAATATTTGTTAACTATTAACAAATCTTATTTGGTGGAAATAAATACTTTTTTCAATACACAAAAGCTTCTTAATAGTTACAAAAATTTTGTTCTCATAAAAAATTGATTTAGTTAATACTAACGAATATTGTTAATAGTAAAAAAATATTTTTTCCACCCAAAAAAATATCTGAAAAAGATTTTAATAAATTGATTTATTAAATACAAACAAATCCTTCTATCAGTGTATTTATTCAATTTTTACCATAGAGCAAGCGCTCTCTAAAGACTATCATAATTACATATTAAAATTAATGTAATATTGGAATAATAGAACATAATAGAATTGATTAATTATAGATAATACAACATGATAATTAACAATTAATATCATAATAATAAAAATTGTTATTGTATTAACTCTTCACAACATTGCACTGAAAAAAAAAATTAACTTGAATCAAGAGAAAAATTCTTGAACCAAATAAATAATTTTGAAGAGTCTCATTGCCTTGAATCAAGACGAAATATTTTTTAATTAAATAAAATTTACTTAAAGCAAGAAAATTTCTAAGTTTAACAAATTTTCTGCTTAAATCAAGAAGAAAAAACTCTTTAAAAATATTTACTTGATTTAAGTAAATTTTTTTTTCTGTGTATAACAATCTCAAAAATCTCTATTATCAAGTACTTAATTTTGAAGAACTTTATCTTGATTTGAGTAAAAAATTTTTTAAATTAAGAAATTTTTCTTGGTTTGAGAAAATTTTATTAAATTTAAGAATTTTTTGTTCCGATTCAAGACAATGCAATTCTATAAAATTATTTTCTAGAATTTTTCTTTAGCAATAATTTATTTATTTCATCTATGAAAATCTAAAAAAATATTTTTATACACTTTTTCAGAAAAAATTCATATAAATTTTTTATATATTTGCTTACATATTTTTTCACGGGATTTTTTCCTTGTTTGTTTATCGAATGAATGTAATTTCTATTTTGAATGCTTTTATTATAATTTATATCATTGTTATTTGTAACAGATTCACCGACTGGAAATGAGGTAGCTGTTGCGGCGTTATTGTTACGAAACCTCCAATTATTGCAATTCAATGCCCACGAAATTTTCGAAACACGTGTTAGTAACGAGCATCGATTTCGTGGGAGCAAAACAGTTTATCTTGGGGTTGCAATTTATCCAGGAGTTGCTCGTTTCAATCACGATTGTTATCCAGCCGTAACTAGGTAACTGTTTTTAATTTAATGTCTGCTAATTAGTTACTACTACACTCTCTGTTTTCTCATGTTGACTCGCTCTTTAAATAGCTCCATTTGTTTGCGTTCTTGGTGATTTTTTGTCTTGTCGATCGTTTGTTGTGAATTATTTAATTATATTTATGACGGAATAGAATTTATTTAAAAAAAAAAAATATTTGTAATTAATTAGCTGCTGTAAAATTCTTTCGGGTGAAAACAATGTTTTAGTTTTTTATTTTTATGTTTATAGAACAACATTAGTATTGCTATATAATACAAATAATTATTTTTTTTATAACGACTAATTAATTATTAAGCTTGTAAAGTAAAAAAAATGAAGAAAAAAATAAAATAAATATTCTTTGTAAGATAAAAAAATTATTTAAAATATTCGGGTTCAAAAGCGTTTATAAATTGAATACGAATGATGTAAAACAAATGTCAGACTAATTAAACAAATTTAATTCTCATGCACTGACAGCTAATTTAATTTATTGTTTTACCTTTTGTATTGCAGATACTTCAGCGGTCGTGATATAGTTATAAGAGCGACGCGACCTTTGACAAAGGGGCAAGTTATTGCTGAAAATTACGGCCCGATATTCACAAAGAGAAGCTTTAAGGAACGCCAAAGAAACCTTGAAGGACGGTACTGGTTTAAGTGTACCTGTGATCCTTGTAAGCAAGATTGGCTTAAGTTTGAGGAGTTGATTAATTGTTCTCCTAAAATTAGGTAAATCTAATTTGTGTTTACAAACAACTATGTATTTATTAAGCACGGTTGAACACCATGTTTATTAAAAAGTAACCGCTGCAATCTCATCTTGATGTTACACTCATCGAGACCTTTCATTTGAGTACCCACATCAATTTTCCATATATTTATATATATTATATATATGTATATATGAAAAATATATAAAAATTCATGTTGGTACTCAAATGAAAGCTCTTGATGAGTATAACATCGGGATGAGCTTATATCTTTAAAATATATATAATATATATGTATATATGAAAAATATATCAAAAATGCATGTGGGTACTTAAATGAAAGGTCTTGATGAGTGTAACATCTGGATGAGTTTATATCTTAAAAAATGTCAATAATTAAGAAATGATCTTGTATCTTGTGAACTATTGACATTTTTAAAGATATAAGCTCATCTTGATGTTACACTCATCGAGACCTTTCATTTGAGTACCCACATCAATTTTCCATATATTTATATATATTATATATATATATATATATATATATGAAAAATATATGAAAATGCATGTGGGTACTTAAATGAAAGCTCTTGATGCGTCTAATATCGTGATGAGCTTATATCTTTTAAAATGTCAATAGTTAAGAAAATACAGTGCAATAATAATAATAACTAATAATAATAATAACAATAATAATAATAATAATTTTATTTAAAGGTGTACAACAGAAAACTGTAAGGGATTACTGCTCCAAGGAATCCACTCGAGTAATTTAGTAAAGTGTATGTCTTGTAAAAAAAAGATAAATCTTGAAAGCAGTATAATGAGCTTAAGCCATTGCGAAGAGAATTACAGTCAAGGACTAGCAAGTATGGAACAAGAAAATCCCGATGAAGCAATAGAGAAAATCACAAAAGCACTTGACAAATTTCATAGAATAGCTTCAGCGCCCCATCGTGAGACTCATTTAGCTGAAATCGCGTTAGCTGCTTGTATGGCTGATTCCGGCAATAGATGGAGACCGACATTTACCTAGATGTGTTTATTAATATTATTTGCAGTGTAATAATATTATGCATTTATATTTAATAATTGATTTTTAAAAAATTTCAATATTAAATAATTTTTATCCTTTTTTTTAATAATTTTATCAGAACAAAATAATGGATTGTTGATATAAATTGATATAAATTCACCAATTATTTTTCAACACACCAAAATAAAAATAAATATGAAGCACGAGTTCAAAGTAAATTCAATATATAATACTCGGTGTTGTAACGGAAGCGCTTTTATCATCATTATTGCTTTTATTTGTCTTTTAATGGATGAAAATAAAATATTTGATAAATTTGATCTCCAGTGAATGGCATACAGTAAAACAATACAACCGAGCGGCAATAAATTTTTTATGAACCAATATGAGCAGCAAAAAATAAAATAAAATAGAAGTGAAAATAAAATAAGCACTAAAGGGAACATTAAATAATTAAACGAAATTTTTACAATTTTTTTGTGGTATTTATTTTTTATAATGCACATGTTTCGTGAAAAAATTATATTCCATATGAAATATTATTAAAGAGCTCAAATATCGGTACAAAATTTACTGAGCAGTCGACGTATCAGCCGACTATATCTATTTTATAAACACTTAACTGAGATATCGAGTAGTAGAGTGGTTCTATCAATTTTATAATTATATATCGAGTTATGTTATATTTTATATTAATACAAAAACCACAAAAGCGTCAATAGTTATAGCCCGGCAAACATCACCAGCCCGTCGATCTTCTAAAACATGGCAATTTTTATATTTAATTCTACAATTAATTACAAAAAAAAATTATTTTTCACCTGTCCGTAATTTCGTCAATTTCAATTATTGTACAAACATACAAATTACAATTTTTCCAACACTCATTACTTCATAAAAAAAAAAAGATGTTCAATTAATCAATGAGTGTTTTGAATGATAAGATAAGAAACGAGAGAAATAACGCACGGCGTGCTTATTTTTTACAAATGCAAATAAAAAAAACTCTCGTTTCTTCTCGTAATTATTTTTCAATTGCAAACATCACACCTTGGGCATCGACTTACTGGTGTTTTAAATCGTTAATTATTTATCTTAAAAAATGTTACAGAGCCGCTGGGAGTCCCGCGGGTCTGATCGGGCTATTATGGCTCACTTTATTTTTTTTAATGTTCGTGTTTTTTTTTGGTAATTATTTACAAATGGGAAAAAATTAATTTTTTTTAATTCTATTTTTAAGTTATTAAAAAATTAATATTTTGATAGCTTTTTTGCCTTGAAAAGTTGGAAAAAATTTTGGTTCTTATTTTTTTGGATAAAATTTCCATTTTATCTTTTTTTTGATGTTTTTTTGAAAAGTAGATAAAAAAACGAATTAAAAATTTTTTTTAATTATTAAAATTGTAATAATCAATTTTTTTTTAACTGCTCATTTTTTTATAAATTTTTCAAAAAAAAAAAGACCCCACTTGTGAATAATTACCTTTTTTTTTTTTTATCAATAATCAATTAGTTAATCATTAATCGTCTATTTCAGTCAACACATGCATTGTACTTTTAATTAGCAGTCGGTATTATTTTAAAAATTATTCAATAATCTCTGCTTTATTTAACACGATTATTTTTCGAATAAACATTATTATATTTTTGCTTTTATTAATATTTTCCATTGAATTTTTTCTACGGTGCATTTTAACCTCGCGGTCCGGTTAACTGAATAATCAATTGTTCTCGTACGTTATTTTAAACGTAATTAACTTCATAAAAATCCTTCAAAATTCCAATAATTATTACAACAATAATAATAATTATCATCATCATTAATTTGACAATTGAGTAACATGACCGCGGGTTTTAACTTAGCTCTTATTAAATGCATCTAGATATTATGCATTGAGTTGTTACTTAATATTTGATCTTAATTAAATAATCTCGAATTTAAAAAAAATTACAAGGGTACAATTATATTATGCGTAATGAGATTTCCAATTATAATTATAATTTATAATTGTAATTATTACAATAATAATAATAATAATTTATCAACTTCCACCATACAAAATACATAATTATTTTTTTCAGAGAAAATTATTTAGAGGCTGAAAAAAAATGAATAAAGACAAATAATATAAATGTAAAAAGAAAAATTGATATTTATTTTGTGATAATACTACAACCTATTTAAAGATGTTCATGCAAAGCTGTATAATTTTTAGATGTTATTATTTAACTCTTTATACTTATCAGTAACTCAATTACTTATTTATAAATTTTAGTCAATTAAAGAATAAGTAAATTACAATTTGTCATTACAAATTTAAACAAATATTTATTATTCTTCATCAGAATCGTGTATCACTTTAAATGTCAATGATTATAATAGCAAAAAAAAAAACTTTTTACTGAGAAAAAATAAACAATTTTTCAATTAAGAAATACCAATTAATTATAATCAATATAATATAATCTTGATTTAACATTTGTACTCGTAGTACGAAAAATAAAAAAAAAAAATGCAAATAATTGAACGCAACGCTAGCAAAAATATTTAGTACACAATTAAACCAAGCATTGGAATTTCAATACTTATTCAATATTAAATTAAGCGCAATTACAATTTTTCCGACAGTTCCCGCTTAGCCAAAAAAAAAAATAATAATAATAATCAGCGTGTACATTTATGTGTAATTAAATATCTCAGTGATTCACGATGAAGATTTTTTTTCTTTCTCAATTTGTGGAAAGTGTTAAATAAATTTTTGTCTTGATATTTTTAATTAATTGTTATATATTTTTAAATATGTTGTTGTTGATGTTGTGGTTGTTGTTGAATTGAATATTGATTGATGTACTTGTTAAGTAGTTGGTGACATTAATTACCGCTGCTGTTCAGATTCATCTGTGTGTTTTATGGGATTGTGGTGTTACATAATAGGAGTGTTGAATGGTGGTAGCGCTTTAATTATTTTTTATTTATTATTATTCTTTTTTTTTTCAGTTATTAATTAAGCGTTGCTCTCGGTGGTGGTGTTTTGCACAGCCTGGCTGTCCTGGAACAATAAGTTTATTATGTTTTAATAAACACAAGAGTAAATAGCTAATTTAGTTTTTATAAAACGTAGCTTGTTATTCAAATAACGTTTCACTGGAAATAAAATAATTTATTTTTTATTCTTTAGAGTGCATGATGCAGTAGAGATGATGAGTAATAAAAAAAAGCAAGCAAGGTTTGTTAAATGTTTACTACTAATTAATAATTATTGTTGTTATTATTTTATAGATAGAGACTGTGGTAAGGGTAGTTATTTTTAATGCTTGAGGGTTAACGAGGAAGATGAAAATGAAGAATTACCTGCGAAGAAGTAACATCGGGTGTATCTTGTTTTTTACATACATCCTGTTCATGCAGCTTCATTGAAACCTGAGATTTCGGCTCCTATTGATTTCGTCAAGAAAGAAAAAAGAACGTGCACAGCTAAGTATTACACTCGTTACGTTAGCTAATTTATTTTTTATTATTATTATTAATAATCGCTTTAAATAAAATTTCTTTTGTGTGGATAATTATTTGGTAGTTTTATAAAAAAATTTTGGATTAAATATTTAGTAATTTTTAAAAATATTAAATATTTAATAATTTATCAAAAATTTTTGTATTAAATATTTATTAATTTAAAAAAAAAAAATTGTATTAAAAAAGTGAAATTGAAACCTTAATAGCATTATCACCTGCTTCAGGAAGAATCTTAGAGTGTGAAGAGGAAATAGGATCAACAAATGGTTGGATATTTTCTTTATTTGCAAATTGAGGATTGCCGTAACGTGAATTACGTGTAATACGTCGTCTAAAGTGTGGATGCAAAGATCTATTTGAATTTCTACCGAAATCATTATCTTGTCCACTCACCTGTTATATATAGTGTTTTGTTTAATTTATTAAAGTTTTTTTTTTTTTTTGCAGTAAAGTCTACTTGTGATAAAAGAAAATAAAGTTACAGTGAAGCGATGCAATAGAGTGAAAGCCATAGATGTAAATTAATAAAAAATCCAACTTACTTGATTGTCTTGGCTTCTTGGCCGTCTTGGTGGGCCACCGCCGCCTCTACCTCCGCGGAAATTGCGGCGGTAGAACCGACGTGGTGCGGATCCACGTCCACGTCCGCTGCTGCGAGGTGGGCCACCTCCTTCGTTTCCGCCCTCGCCGCCTTGCTCGCCTTTGTCGTAGCGAGCTGCGCCGCCTCCTTCGCCGCCGTTTTCACCGTGCTGTTGGTTTGGTGGGCCTGATCGACGACCACCGCGGTAGTAATTGTCATAGTTACGACGAGGTCTGTAACGTCTCTGATTACCATCGCCGATGTTGTTGTCTTCTACTTGTTTACCGTCTCCTATGAAATAATTAAATATATAATTAATTAAATAATTACTTTTGTTAAATTGCACTGTACGTTCTTAAATATTGACGTTTTTAAAGATATTAGCTCATCCCGATGTTATGCTCATCAAGAGCTTTCATTTGAGTACCAACATCAATTTTTCATATACATTTATATATATTATATATATATATGTATATATGAGAAATATATCAAAAATGCA